GATGCCCCATAGTAAGCCTATGGGTGATGTCACTACACACTCACTGCAGCCATTGTCAGTGATCTCTCCTCTTCAATGAAGGTGGCTGTTGGGAAAATCATGTGACTGGACCAGAGCACCCACAGATTAGATAACTATAGACATTTTCCCTTTACAGGGTAGTTAATATAGGGCTTAAAATGGGGGTGGGTGCAGGTTTAAGTACAGTTAGTATTTGACTTAACTTCTACTTTAAGGTATACGTTTCCAGCATGGCTTGCCTGCTAGAACACCACTCCTTTCAAAAGAAATGCTCCTCTGAAGTTTAAAGGAAAGCCAACACTTTCTGCAGCATCAATCTCTTTGGTCAACAGCAGCCCTCAGTGATTCTCCTGCCTACTTCCACGTCATTTTATTAAACAATAGTGATGTGGAGGTCGAAGGGAAGAACCAGTGAGACCAAGGAGATTGACAGGGTTTTGCAGAAAGGGAATGGGGCTTAAAAATGTTCTGATGTTAGAGGTTAATATGTTGAAAGGTTTTTGGTATTCCTAAAATAGCTGTTCAGTTTTAGAGCATCAAATGTATCACGAATAAGTGCAGCGCATAAAATAAACCAGTGAATAACTGAGGTGATCTAGACCATATATGTCTCTCAATCAAAATAAAAACATAATCATCACTCAAGAAAAACAGTAAAATATCACATGTGAGCACATAGGTGAGTCCCAATATATAAATTCTATGACGTGAAAATGCTATTCAAAAGTGAAGATCCAGCAGGCTGTGCACATATATTCTGAAAATCAGGAATCAATCATAAAGTGGAAGGTGATAATCATCCGGTGGTGTGCGATAGAGTAGTGGGATTGCAAACTCACCAGAAGCGCAATCGTAATGCGCATTGGTTAATATTATCCAGCCTGGAGGTCATGAGGTCCCTCTCATGGATGGTATGAAATGGTCTGGTCTGGTCAAAAGGAAGTTTATTCCATCCTCCGAGTTGGATGGGACCTGTGTCCTGGGGGTTAAGTGCTCATAGTAGAGCAAAAAATAGGGGATCCCATAGTGTAGTATTCTTGCAATTTAATTATGAAATGATTAAACGGTAAAAAAGTGTACACACATATCATCCAAATAAAAATCAGGTGAACGAGGTAGAATAGCTCTGTAAACAATCAATATAAGTAGCCTGTGCTGCCAATGTTACTGACCAGTCAGCTAGTTATGGTGGCCGCCGGGCCTCCGTGATCAGGCGGCGTGACGTCTCAGGGTAGTGGGGCTCCTCCTTGATGCGTTTCGTATAAATATACGTCCTTAGAAGGGGTGATGCTTTAGAGCATGTTTGTAGGGTATATGATTTTTACTGACTATCAGGAACCAATCATGTGATTACTATGTCAGCTACAACACTCATTTGCATGTGATCATTCACATGCAAGATGGAGGTGTCATTGACAAAATAAGCCTTCGACCTACAGAGACACACTGCTAACATCACACTGCAGTGGGATCTGTAGTGCCATCTATTTTATTGGGTAATTGCCAGGTACATTTACATTATTAAAACTTTTAATAGAAATTATGTTAAACTCTTTTTTTTTTTTTTTTTACATTTTCAGATTTTCAGACTGTAGTAAAACAATTTACCAATTAAATGTTCATAAAGATATAAAACTTATTTTGGTATGCAAATTAGTCCTAGTGTTATTTGTAAGCTAACTAACACAAGCAGATGCTGCTATTTGGCCTGGGCGTCTAGGCATGAATGAGTTCAGGTCACAAAAGTATAAAGTTGGCTATAAGAAAAAGAAAAAAAAAAAATCTCCCATTCCACTTCAAACATTCTCTACCTATTTTGAAAACGGTATTTAAGTCTGACCAAGTGTAAAAAATAGCACCACTCAAACGCCTCCCGTTTGTTCTTCCATTGGTTCTCCTTCTACAGTGGGTGCTAGCCTCTCTAGGTACAAGTCTCATTCCATGGAGCAATCACAATAGCAAAATTAGAGGACGCATATCACATACAGTAGATCAACCACATCTGCTGGTAAGCTAACAGAGGCTTCAGCTACAGTCCACAAATTGTGGCCAGACGCCTGGGGCATGGCCAAGATGTGGGGACTGTAGTTGAAGCCTCCGTTAGATCAACCACATCAGCTGGTAAGCTATGTGGTGTGGGCCCTCTGATTTTGCTATTGTGATTAAGTATATTATTACCTTGGTGACAAATCCACTGCTTTGGGTGACCAGTTAGAAATGTCATTCAGCTGTCTGCAACCTGCAAAAAAGTGATCAGGATGCAGACTCCACTCACTTATCTATACCTTGGGGAAATTGTTAACACCGATGGGTGTGCTGTGAAATGAGCCCAATAAATTAATATATTGGTACTGACTGGGGATTTTTTTTAATTGTACTTTTATCCTTTAAGGTCCATTCATACCTATAATATGCAGGGATGCGCTAATCAGTGTAATCTCACTATTCTCACCCAGCACTCCGCACCCCGGTGCCCCTGGCCCAGCGAGTAGGTTGCGCATCTAATCCTCCAGCTGCTGCAGTGAAAGCCACAAAAGATCGGTTCCAGTTATTTCTCTTTGTGTGGGTGTGATTTGTGTGGGCGGGGACACAGGGGGCTCCATGAATTATCAGTCGGACCTATAGCAGGGTTTTTTTGCCCCTAACATAGTGGACACAGTGTACTGAGCACCCAAATGCCTCCATGTGTGAGGGTAGCCCCCTGAAAGAATAACGTTTTTTTTCTCATTGGGGCCGGCCTCATTTACTTGCCCAGCAGATGCGCTTTTGCTGAGCGTTAAAAGAGTCTGACACTCCTTTCCTAACAAGCACCCAATCGGTGCTCATCACACTGCAAGGTCTCTACCTTCCCTGCTAGTCCCCGGGTGTGGTGCTGGAGACATACAGGGAGATGAATGGGAGATAACCAGCACAATGGTAAAAACATTAAACGTTTAAGTCAACATAAAGCTTTAATTTCTAAAAGCCCCACACATTCCTAAAAGACTAATAAAAAACATCAACCCTTCACCTTACTTAAATACAGCTTTGTTTAAAAATTATTTTATTTTTTTTTATCAGGACAAGTAGATTGTCATGAGGGACAAGTAGATTGGGACCCTGATTTAGAATCTTGGACAAGTAGTTTTTAAAAAAATTTCATCACCCCTGATATGCGTTAACACATGTGCAGATGTTTGCCATAGTTCATGAATATGTGACACAATGGTATGCAGCAGTCAGGTGCATGTCTTTTTTTTTTATTATGAATGTATGTTATAAGGGCTTTTGATAGGGATGATGGCTCATGTCAGTGCATGACAGCATACCTACCAAAAGCAATATAAAACCATGAAAGCAGAGGTTTATTGTCAATGGCTAGGTGAATAAACAATATGTCAGAACACCACAGGCTGTGAGCACTGCTCTTTGCAGGCCATAATTAACACAGGGTAATTTTCTTTTAGGCTTTGTATTTATACAACCCCAATTCCAAAAAAGTTGGGATGCTGTGTAAAATGTACATAAAAGTAAAGTCTGGAGGATGTGGCTCCCATGGGTGCCAAAAAGGATGTCAAATTTTGAGTTGTCTGACCACAGAACAGTTTTCCACTTTGCAGAAGACTATTTTAAATGAGCTTTGGCTCAGAGAAGATGGTGGCTTTTCTGGTCATGTTCAGATATGGCTTCTTCTTTGCTTGATAGAGCTTTACCTTCCTGTCTTAAATGTGGTGTCTTCTGAGGGCCCAAAGATCATGGGGCATCTAATATTGTGTTTCTGCCTTGTCCCTTGTGCACAGGGACAAGGTAATCTCAGAATATTTTGATATTATGTACTGTAGATTATGATATATTTAAAGTCTTTGCAGTTTTACATTGAGGAACATTATTTTGACATTTTTTGATTTTCAGATTTGTGAACCTCTGCCCATCTTTACTTCTCAGATACTTTGACTCTCTAAGATGCTCTTTTTATACCCAGGCATGTTACTGACCTGTTGCCAATTAACCTAATTAGTTGCAAAATATTCTTCCAGCTCTTCCATGTTAGTACCACTTACTTTGCCAGCGTTTTGTTGCCCTCTCCCAACTTTTTTTGAGACATGTTGCTGTCATCAATTTCAAAATGCCATCACTTTTTTTCTTAAAATTGTACATTTGATATGTTTGATATGATTTAATATGTTTGCTATTGTAAATATAACATGGGTTTGCGAGATGTGCAAATCATTGCATTCCATTTTATGTAGATTTTAAACAACGTCCCAACTTTTTTGGAATTACGGTTGTATATGAATGTCCAAAACAAGTTCAGCTCTGCAGCTAACATGTAATATACAGTATATTGCCAAAAGTATTGGGACACCTGCCTTTACACGCATATGAATTTTGATGGCATCCCAGTCTTAAACATTAAGGTTCAATACTGGGTTGGCCCACCCTTTGCAGCTATAACAGCTTCAACTCTTCTGGGAAGGCTGTCCAAAAGGTTTAGGAGTTTGTCTTTTGGAATGTTTGCCCATTCTTCAGAAGTGCATTTGTGAGGTCAGGCACTGATGTTGGACAAGAAGGCCTGGCTCACAGTCTCCTCTCTAATTCATCCCAAATGTGTTTGATCAGGTTGAGGTCAGGATTCTGTGCAGGCCAGTCAAGTTCCTCCACCTCATACTCACTCATCCATGTCTTTATGGACCTTGCTTTGTGCACTGGTGGAACAGAAAGGGGCCATCCCCAAACTGTTCCCACAATGTTGGGAGCATGAAAATTGTCCAAAATGTCTTGGTTTGCTGATGCCTTAAGAGTTCTCTTCACTGGAACTAAGGGGCTAAGCCCAACCCCTGAAAAACATCCCTACACCATAATCCCCCCTCCTCCAAACTTTACACTTGGCACAATGAAGTCAGGCAAGTACCGTTCTTCTGGCAACCACCAAACCCAGACATGTCCATTGGATTGCCAGACAGAGAAGTGTCACTCCAGAGAACACGTCTCCACTGCTCAAGAGTCCAGTGGCAGCGTGCTTTACACCACTGCATCCAAATCTTTTCATTGCACTTGGTGATGTAAGGCTTGGATGCAGCTGCTCGGCCATGGAAACCCATTCCATTAAGCTCTCTACACACTGTTGTTGTGCTAATCTGAAGACCACATGAAGTTTGGAGGTCTTTAGCTATTGACTCTGCAGACAGTTGGTGACTTCTGCGTACTGTGCGCTTCAACATTCGCTGACCCCGCTCTGTCATTTAAAGTGGCCTACCACTTTGTGTGGCTGAGTTGCTGTTGTTCCCAGTTGCTTCCACTTTGTTATAATACCACTAAAAGTTGACCGTGAAATATTTAGGAAAAGAAAATTTCACAGATGGACTTATTGCACATGTGGCAATCTATCATGGTACCATGCTTGAATTCACTGAGCTCCTGAGAGTGACCCATTCTTTCACAAATGTTTGTAGAAGCAGTCTGCATGCCTAGGTGCTTGATTTTATACACCTGTGGCCATGGAGGTGGATGGAACACAAACGGCAAACCTCCTTATACATAAAAAGCAATATCAGCTTATAGTGATTTTAAACCCAACATTTCATATTCCTGATATTTGCCTGCTGAGCCTCGTATTTGTATGAAAAAGTATCCTGATCTTTGTATTGCTTCTTTTGTGTGAAATCCCTGGTGTTCCTGCCAGTCCCTCTGCTTTCCTATTAAAAAGTAACCACACTAGGCAGGAGAGCACAGTGTTGTCAGTTCTCTAGCCAATCACTGGGAAGTTCAGTGTGCTACTGTTTCTTCTCCCTCACCTCTCTATGCAGCTGAGAACAGAGGCTATGGGATCACTTCATATAAAAGGGAAAAAAGGTATTTATATATTTTTATATAAATACACAAAGGCTTTGCCTTTCATTTATATTTTAAATTAATTGGGCTGTTTTACAAGGTAAGGGTTTACATATTCTTTAATAAGCCATTTGCAAATACTCACACATAAAAAAAATGCATTAAAATTTAACTGAAAAATACACATGTGAAAATTTATAAAACATGTGACAAAAACAGTGGTACGTAATTCTGTGTCCTCTTTATGAAAAAAATATAATAAATGCACATATTGTTGCAGGAAAAAAATGTGCATTCATTATTTTATTTCACTGGAGAATGCAGAGCATTGCACCCACAATCAGTGGTTGAAAATTCAGGATCCTGCACACATTGCCTTGAGAGCTCTGCCCTTTCCTCTGTAAGGGCAGACAGTGCTTGAGCTATAGGCAGTGTGAAATGAAATACAAGCATCATGATCGTGTTACATGTTACACCCCAAATATGGATGCAACATGCTCCTAAAGGTGAATTTATCCTTTTAACCACGTGCCTACTGGGCTCTTTCACCCCCTTCCTGCCCAGGTCAATTTTCAGCTTTCAGCGCCGTAGCACTTTGAGCAACGATTGCGCGGCCATGCAACACTGTATCCAAATGTAATTTTTATAATTTTTTTCTTAGAGCTTTCTTTTGGTGGTATTTAATCACCACTGGGTTTTTATTTGTTGCTAAACAGAAAAAGACCAAAAATTTTAGGAAAAAAGTTTTTCTTATTTTCTGTTTTTCTCCTTCACTGATGTGCACTAATAGGCAGCACTGATGAGGAGGCACTGATGGGCACCGACAAGCATCACTGATGGGCACTGGTAGGTGGCACTGATAGATGGCCCTGGTGGGCACTAATCGACTGCACTGATGAAGTACTGACAGGCAGCATTGATGGACACTGAGGGGCATCACTGATGGGCACTGATGGGACTGCACTGACCACCAGGGCACTGATGATCAGTGCCCTTAATATCAGTGCGGATGTCAACTCTGAAGATTGTCGCTTATCGGCAGTCCTCTTCTCACGAGCTGTCAACATGAGGAGAGGACTACCTATAACTGGCATTTCCTGTTTACATGTAATCAGTTGTGATTGGACATCGTTGATCACATGATAAAGAGCCTGCATCATCGGCTCTATACCGCGATCAGTGATCCACTGTGACCTAGGAACACAACACACCACCAAACGCAGCACCGCGCACCTTGAGTGGGAGGACGTCATATGATGTCCTTCCAGAACAAGAGAGCTTCTTCCCATCCATCATTTGTCAATATTGCAGACAAACAGTTTGAAATATACTTGGTGAGAAAAAAAATTATTGGTGTTCTTAGAAAGTCCATACAATAAAAACATCCCTTTTAGTAAATTCAGTGCTTTTCCAAACAGAACATGTTAAGGTACTTCGTGCATACACGCTTATGTTGTGCCTCATATCATACCTAATTACAGAAGGTCTTAAGTGCTTGAGACACCCACTGGATAACTACCCCTTCACCACTCTCGTCTTTGAAAACACAGGACCAAGAGTCAGAGATATGTAATGCTGAATGCCCTTACAGGGTTAAACTTGTGCACTCCACCAGTCCTATATCGCTCCAGATATGAGGAAATAGAAAACTCTTAGCTCTCTCGGTCAAATTATTTATTAAAGTGTTACTAAACCCAGGACCTGGCATTCACTATATCTGGTCTCCCACAATACACAGAACATGGAAATGCAATTATTTTAGTAAATATAAACTGTTAAATACCTTTTCTCATCAACAGTTAGAGCAGTCTTGTGACTTCAGCAGAGCACTGGTTAAAGCTTGTAGGAGTTTTCTTTCTGCTCTAGGAGGATGCAAGACCCCTGACCCTCTGTCTAGACAGTCCTGATTGGCCCTGTGCTGATCACATGCACTCTCCCAAGAAAAAAAAAAAACCTTTCTAGCAATACACACTAAACTGAGCATGTGGCTACGGGTTCGGTCTGTCTTATCAAGAGATTCGATTACTGCAACTCCCTCCTCACTGGCCTGCCTCATCGTAGGCTATCCCCGCTTCAGTCGATTCTGAATACAGCAGACAGACTCATCCACCTTACCAACCGCTCCGTTTGCGCCACCCCCCTCTGTCAATCCCTCCACTGGCTTCCGATTGCCCAACGGATCAAATTCAAAATGCTAACACTGACGTACAAAGTTGTCCATAACTCTGCCCCAAACTACATCACTGACCTAATATCCAAATACCACCCCAAAACGCACTTTCCGCTCCTCACAAGGCCTCCTTCTCTCTAGTTCCTTGGTCTCCTCCTCCCATGCCCTCCTCCAGGACTTCTCCAGGGCATCACCCATCCTCTGGAACTCCCTACCCCAATCCAGACTATCACCTACTCTCCTCTCCTTTAGGCTCACTCTGAAAACCCACCTCTTCAGGGTAGCCTACCCCGCCCTCTGCTAATTGCCGATCTCCTCCACTCTTCCTACCACTCCACCCCCTGTGCCACTATCCCCTCCCTCCTAGCTTGTAAGCGCCAAGGAGCAGGGCCCTCTAACCCCTCGTGTATCGCATTGTATTGTTATTGTACTGTCTCATGTATCGCCTCCCATTGTAATGTACAGCGCTGAGCGAATTGTTGGCGCTATATAAATACTGTATAATAATAAGACGTGGACATTTGAACACGAGGAGCGGCAGAGAAAACAGGATCAAATGGCCTTTTTACACAATGCAGAGGATTAACGCCTTTCCGTTCCACAGTGAACAAGCATGCTTTACTGCATAAACAGAGTGATTTTACTGTTGTGGGTTTAGTAACACTTCAAATATAAAAAAAAATGCAGTTACATAAAGCAAGTTCAGCAGTAACAGAGAAAAAAACACACTTGGTATGAAATCTTTATCAGCAGAAACAAATAGAGTTGTCTGTGCTCCTGCAGATAACACTCCAGCCAGCTCTCTTGTGTGTAGTGTGAGGACTTCACCGACAAGGACACCACCTTACGCGTTATGTCTATGGAGACTTCTTCAGAGGACAAGAGTCTCTGTCGGCTTACCACACTGCATACCTATATGTGCCTCTCGTGACCTCCCTTAAAACAGCACTTAATAATAAGTAAAAGGTACATCTTTCCTGAGAGGCTCTCTCATGTTAATACTATTCAACTCAACCTAAATACTAATCTAGTGCAGACAAGAAAAATGTTTCCCCTTGGAGTTGGGGCTTTAACCATTTGCCGCCCGCCCTATGGCTGAATGGCGGGCGGCAAATGTCATCAGCGTTCCGGGTGGATGCCATATGGCGTCCTCCCGCACATGCGCAGATTGCGCTCCTGCAGAGCGGCGCAGCGGCGCGATCTGTCACCGGCCATGTACCTTGGACACGGCCGATGACAGATCTCAGTACCGGCCCCGTTGCCGGTACATGTGACCTGCTGTGACCGATCACAGCAGGTCACATGACAGTTGTATACAATGGATGGCTTCATTCATGCCATCCATTGTATACTACTGCCTAGCTGTGAATGGTCACAGATAATCACATGCACATGCCATGTGATTAGCTGTGGCCAAATCACAGCTAAGCACAAAAAAAAAAACAAAAAACCCTGAATGAATCGATGTCATTCAGGTAAATGCTTGCTTATAGCAAAGTAATTCTTTGCTATAAGCAAATTGTTTAAAAAAAAAACTACTGATCACTCCCCCAAAGTAGTACAATGTTACTATGGTAACATTGTACTACTTTGGTCATAGTGAAATATGAAAAAAAAATCTTTAAAAAAATGTAATAAAAAATAAAAAAAAAATATAATTTTTTTTTTTCATACTGTCACCAGTCAGTGTCCCTGATCACCGCCATGCCAGTTATATGATGACGCTGTACTGCACTGGTGACAATATGTAAAAAAAAAAATGTTTTTAATTTTTTTAATTTTTTCATTTTCAACTTCAAAAAACTCGCCATGCCTCTTATGAAGTACGTCGGACTGTCTACTTTGTAAAAAGGGGTCATTTGGGGGATATCTGTACTGTTCCGACATTCTTGGACCTCAAGAAATTAGATTGGCTGTCAGTACTTCAGGATTGATCAATATTCAGATCTATACCATAGTTTGTGAACTCTATAACTTTCCTACAAACTAAAAAATACATTCTAATTTGGGTTATTTTCACCAAAGAAATGTAGCAGAATACATCTCGGCCTAAATTTATGAAGAACAATTATTTATTTGCAAACTTTTATAACAGAAACAAAGAAAAACTTTTTTTTTTTTTTAATTTTTGGTCTTTTTTTTGTTAATTTAGCAAAAAATAAAAACCCCAGTGGTGATTAAATACCACCAAAAGAAAGCTCTAGTTGTGTGAAGAAAATGATAAAATTTTAGTTTGGGTACAATGTTGTATGACCGCGCAATTGTCATTCAAAGTGTGAGAGTGCTGAAACCTGAAAACTGGCCTTGGCAGGAAGGTGTAAAATTTCCCGGTATTGAATTGGTTAAAGTGTATTTTCCACCGATGAATTTGGTAATTTATGAATTGTTTATGCACATGCATTTGCATAATCTTTAATAACTACTTCCGTAATTATACATAAGTGGTCCAGAGGCTGATGCCAGC